TTTTTTTTTTTTATAACGTCGACTTCCTCTTTCCGTAGCATTTCTTTAATCATTATTATTTTTTCAGTTTTAATTAAGCAGAATTACACATGCTATTCAAAAGTGAATATTAATTGAAAGTGAAATGTTTTGGAAATATTAAAAATTCAAATCAGTGTTTTTGAGAAGTAATAACTTAGCTGAAATTATAACATTTCGGCCCATCACACTGTATACATTTTAACTGATCGCTAGAACAGGGTCTCGTCAGCACAGCTTTTTTTGGCATAAATTATTATGACAATAAAAGTTTGGAGATTAATCAGACAGAAGCAAAGCACAGAAGAAGGGTGAGAATGTAAGCCGAGGAAGTAACCGACCTCAGTTCTCATTTTAAATGCTAATTGCTTCAAGATAACATTATCCAGCCATCCTTATGTCACATGCATAATGTGGTACCTCGTCGTGAATTTTCACGTCCTTTACGTTACCTTAGCTTTCCTTGCCTCAAGTTGCATGTTTTTTTTTTCTAAATTTCTATTTCTGTCTCTAATGAATTTAATATGTCACAACAAAAAAGCCGATTTCCAGTGGATATAGCGCTGCACGTTACTAGGCCGAGGCAGGAGGGAGGGGGAGCAGCTTTGTTTTTAACAGGGAAAAAATTGAAGCAGGATGGAAGTTTGTATATTTTTTCAGCTCAAATTACATCAAGACGAATTCAGTGGTCTGATTGGAAATATCGCATCCGGCCTCATCCAGGATAAAGTTGGTGGAAATGCTGGTGAACTCTTAGGCGGCTTAGCAAGCAGATTCCTTGACAGCGGTGGTGGCGGCGGTGGAGGTTAGTTCTGTTATTACACGAATTACACTTGGTTCCTTTATCACGCGAATTGAATTTGGTACTTTTACAAGCTGTACTCGTGCATTACGATCCGCACTTTGATGAGTTTCTCGCATTTTTTTCAAATGAAAGTGTAGGTGAATAAGGGTTAGTTCGGTATAAACATTGGTGTAGCAACAATAGTCAGTGATGGAAATATTATTTGTGAGATGTAGAAAAGAGGGATATTTTTATTATCATTTCTATTGTTATTATTGCTGTTGTTATTACTGTCATTATTATTGCTATCATTATTATCATTATCATCATCATTATTATTATCATTATCGTAATTATTATCATTATTGTTATTATTATTATTTTTGGGCAGTCAGTGTAGAGCTGACGATTTTGCTCAATGTAACTGTATGCTGAGTGCGACAGTTCTAGTTCCTTTTGTCCTTTAGAAAATGATCAAGCCTTGCCGAATAAGGTCAGGTGGCCTTATCATTTCGGCATCTCCAAGGTGTAAATTTCACTGTGCTTTGACGCTGTTGGGATCGCCGCTTTAAGTGATGGTAAAAGTATGCAAATACGGATAGTACTGTTCATGTATATCTCAAGTTTTCTATTTTTTGCCAAGAATGCGGAAGAAAGCAGAATATTTCCGTTTTTTGCACTTTTAACTTTCTTTGATGTCTTGCAGTTTTTTTTTAGGTATTTTGTCTGATTTTGCTTTTTTGCATATTTCTTGCTTGTTTTCCCAAAATCTTTTTGCAATATAAGTTTTCACTTTTTTTAGTTTACGTTGGATGTAGACTGAAATTTTTAAGGATTTTTAGGATTTTTGAGCGTCATGCAACTTTAAATGCAATTTTTGCCTCCAACTTTTGTGCGTGTGTCCTCATCCACATTTTTTAGCCAGCGGGGGTGGAGGTGGATATCAGGGAGGCGAATATGGCGGCGGTGGAGGATACGGAGGCGGAGGAGCTGGATTTGGCAGTGGATACGGAGGTGGAGGAGGTTACGGTGGCGGTAGAGGCTACAATGATCGGGAACGTGGTGGTGGTGGTGCAGCTGGTCTGGTTGGAAATCTACTCGGTAATCCGATATTTCACTGTTTTGTTTATCTGAATTTGGCAAAGTCTCGAAATTATGAAGTGACTCGCTGATTTCGATGAATCAGAAACAAAATTCAAAACTCCCTCCATGTTCACTCTCTATGAGGTGAAGGCACTCACAAAGTAGCTAAAAAAGAGTCGGTGAATTTTTCGATAAAAAAGGCCGAAAAAGTAGATTTTTTTTTTTAATATTCGGTTCATAAATTTTAAGCTTTGTACAATTTACATAATTATTTTATAAGTTACTTAATGAGGCTGATTAAAAATTGAAGGTGGGATTCTGGACAGCGGAGCAAGTCGTGGCGGTGGTGGAGGTGGAGGTTATGGTGGCTTTGGTGGAGGCTACAGTGGTCAGGAACGTGGTGGTGATAGTGGCGGCGGAGGTGCAGGTGGCCTGGTTGGAAATCTTATCGGTATTTCATTTATTTATTTATCTGGATTTTGAAAAAATATTGAAATTCTGAGAAGACCCGCTGATTTCGATGGATCAATATCAAAAAGTCAAAGCTCCGTCATATTTTTTTACTCTTTCTGAAAGGCGGAGGCATTCGAGGATTAGCAGAAAAGGTTTCGATGATTAGGCCACTGTGGAATTAGCAAAAAAATTTCGATGAGTCAGGTCAAAAAATTGGTTTTTTCGAATTTTGAGCGCCGGAAATTTTGAGCTTTTTGTAATTTCACATAAATTTTTTTCGATAGTTGTTGAATGCTTTGTGGATGTGACTGAAAATTCAAGGTGGATTCCTGGGCGGTGGTGGAAGTCGTGGTGGTGATGGGGGCGGGGGTTACGGTGGCGGCGGGGGTTACGGTGGTGGTGGAGGCGGATACGGTGGTGATGGCGGCGTTGGTGGATACGATAGCCGTAGTCGAAAAAAACCCGAAAAATTCAGTGAGTCATTTCCTTTATCACTTTTTTTGCATTTGCTTGCTCTTAAAAGATGTACATTTAAAGTTTTTTTTTTTTGTCTTTTTTTGGCATGAATTCTTTTGGCTCCATCACAGCAAAATCGAAGGCCCTTCATGTAATTGGATCTGAATTTCCTTTTTAGGCAGTGTGATAAATTTTTTTAATAATTTGAAGATAAAAAGGCTGTCTTATTCAGTGACGAGTCCTGCTCGTTCTGCGTACTTAAGAAGTTAATTAGCGATGTAGTCCCGAGCAAATTCCTAGCAGTTTTAAAAAGAATCATTTGAAAGTAGAATAAAAAAATTTTTAGCGTTGTTAATTTTTTACAATTTCTTCTAGTTGAGCAGAGAAAACAGCTGCTTTGTTTCCCAGATCCATCGTTATCGGGTGCAGTGGGGAATAATCTTCCGTTCAGATTCCAGTGCTCGGTGGCTGTCCGTGCACTTGCTCCTCTTCTAGCTGATAATTTTTTTTTTTTTTGTGTTCATTCGCCATTGTTTGGCTTATCGAGCACTTGTAAGATATATGTATATATATGTGTATATATATGTATATATTAAAGGCACATGCATATATGTATAAATATATAAAACAAAAATGTATTAAAAGATAAAAATATTAAATAATTTGATGAGCAGGAATGTTTCGGTCCATTAAGCCGTCGGGATATCGTGGCCTCTGAACGGAAGCAGTCATGCAAGAATCAAAAATTCAGTGATCGCTCGCTGCTAAGAAGATATATCATTTTGTGTTTTGGATGCTGGACTGACTGGGCCATTCTGTAATACTGATGACTGTGCCGTTATGGGAAGCAACACCAGAAGCTTAGTGTGCCGCTGTTATTTGTGGTCTAGCCATCCAGCTTTACATCTATAAGCCGCCTCACTGAGACAATTCCCATAGCGCTAGCACAGTCTTTTCAATTTCCTAAAAGGAATTAGCTTAGTGCACACAATCGGTTGCTAGGAATTTACCACTAAATATTGTTGGGCACTTTTACCTAGTTTTGTAACACATTTTAATAGAAATTTGTACTAGGGGAACTGTATTGATGATTCCCACTCCTATTCACGTGCAACGTACGGTCTGTGTTTACAGCTAAGCACGAAACACAGATAACACCCAAACATGTCTTCTTGGTAATGATACTACTTAGATTTATCTCCTTATCTCCTATTCTGTTATTTGAACACTTTTCACTACTTTTTTTGAGGGTTGGGCCGAATTTTGCATTTATTTAGCTGTATTTTGTCTCTCACCTTCCCCTGCCGCCCAGTATGGTTTACATAAATTTTCTGCTCGTCTCTTATCTAATTTTTAACTTATCTTCTATATGCACAGATGAGCTAGATTGTTGTTCTCTGTTTCTCAAATTTTCTTTCTCGCATGAATAATTGTAAGTGCATGCCAAAGTGCAAAACAGGGACAATTCAGTTGTTCATCTTTTCATTCTTTTTTTATTAGTAAATCGGCTGTGTTATTCTTTTGGGACTGAATCTTGTCTTTTGCGGTGTTTGCCTGTGCTGTAATTGGGTCCCTGTAGCAGAAAAAACGAGAGGAGTCTTTATCCGGTCTCGAAGCTCCTCTACAGCACATTTTTAAATTATCTGGATGCTTTTACCACTTACTTTTCGAACACACATTGGAAAACAGCAGCAGCAACCGCAGAGATAACGCGATAATTGCTACTGATAGCGACTCATTGCTGTTTTTTTGTGCGGTAAAAACCAACAGCTTTCATATGTATTTCATAAGGGCAAAAAGACAAGGAGACAGAGAAAGAATTGTGTGGTGCGAAATGATGGATGTTATTTTACGGCAGATGACTAATGACTATATCGATTTCTTGGGTTGGTAGGAATGAAAGACAACAGATGGGCAAAGTGAGTAGTGTTCAAGCGTTATTAAACTGATTGATGCATGTAGAACCACTAATGTGTGATTGAGAAATATCAGCTTGAACGCTTGTTACCCCTGAGTAAATAGGACGGGGACCAAAGTATGGAAAAATAAAAAAATTAGCTGCCGACGAAACGTGGCAGTCGAAACAATAGCCGACAGATATAGCCAAGATCTCCTGGATTGTCATTTTAGAGGCGTCGAAATGTCCACAGAATATGGTCACACAAATGATTATTTGTTGAAAAATTATGAATTAATAGTTTTACATTTTAAAATTCATTTCCTGTACATGGGCACAGGGCCACACGAAATGTTTTATTCTGGCCATGATCGGATCGTGACCTTAAAAGAAATAAAAGGTCCAGAGAAATGAGAATTTGGGACGGCCGGAGTCAGAAATTTAAAATGAAGGCTGGGATAAGATTGTTAAAATAATTTGCGGCGTTGGCAGGCCGAACCTGAATGAAACTTGAATTCGTATTTCTAGGCCACCAATTGATCAGGAAATCCCCTTAAAATTTCAGCGTTCCAGCTTGCTATTGCTGAGTTGAAAAACCGTTCAATTTCAAATTTCACCTCTCCGTAACTGTATGTGAGACGTATGAGATTGTGAAATTTGTTGCCGCGTATTGTAGCGATCGTTGGGGTTTTTTTTTTCGAAGCCGTGTGAAGATTTCAAATTTTATTTTATTCACAACTCCCTTACATTCTTCTGACGTATTTTATTGCTGGATTGCTGAATCAATTTCTTTTTTCTCTGATCTGTGATGCTTACCGACTTTTTGGCCTGCATCCGAAATCCGGATCGTGATCGTTCCGGTGAACAGCAAATGAAATGCTATAATTTACAAGGTAACGAATAAGAGTGGAAATAAAATTTGTGTTTGATTTGTGGGGCTGATTTTTAAAAATTTTTGAATTTGTGATTTCTAAGTAAATTTCTGAAATTCAAGATACTCAGCAATTTTTTAATTTTTGTTAAAAAATTGCGACCCCTCGAGAAAGTACAATGCGATGAGCAGCAAGACTTGTTGCTCATCTTGACGAAAACAGGTGGATTTCGCATATTAGGAATTGACATCCGCGAAAAGGTTAACAACTGCTGTTGTGGCCTACAAAAAAAAATAGCTCACATACATCGAACGGGTAGTGGATACTAACTGAAAGTGTGCAGAAAACAACATCGAAGAGCACGGCCTAGCTGCGCCCGATGTGTTAGTTTAATGCAGTAGCATCACTAGCACTGGATCACTTCTTGGTATTTTTGGTTGAAAAAATTCTAACTGCACAGTTTCAGCATGGTTTGTTTAAAAAAAATTTTTTTTGTGTGAAAACGGTATATCGAATAATGGATTTGTTTCAGGTGATCAGATTGGTGACATACTCGGCGGCTTCATTTCCGGCGGCGGCGGCAGTGGCGGTGGCAGCGGCGGAGGAGGTATATTTCTGAAATTCTTTTAATCCTCTCGATTCAGTTTTCGAAAAAAAAACCGTCGTTGGGAAAAGCTGTTCTTTTTTTGCCAGTCGGAAATGTTAATGTCCTCTGAATCAAAATATACATTCCACATTTCTCTGTGTGAAGGGTGGAAGCAACTCGAATAGTAGTACACTGCTAACGGCACCCACAAGGCGGAGTTGTCGACGCCTCGTTTTTTCTAACGCTGAGTAAGATAGAGATGGCGTCAGATTACATGTAAGCAATAGAAAGTTTTAATAAAAAGGAATGAAGTAATGAGAAAGAAGAAAAAAGTAAAAGGAAAAAAGATGGTAAGTAATAAAAATTAGGAAATTTGTGAGATTATTATAATGGTAAGAAATGTTTCGATCCATTAAGTGGTATACACTTCTTAATCCATGTAAGCAACTCTCGAAGAAAGAATCCATCAAAAGTGCTTGGTTGCTGTTGGCATTCGCTACCACTCGAGGTATTTCCCGAGTGCCTCGGCCTCTCACTGACAGCAAATACGGGGGAGGGTTTTTAATTTTGACTTTGTGTTTTTGGGTGGGACAGTAGCTTGTGTTAACTCTCGAGAATGTGCTAGTACCAATTCACTGTCGAAGAGGATGGCAGTTGGATTGGCCTTCTCACGGACGGAATAAAATTTTCAACTTTTATCCTGAAAACAGTGTTAAAGTGCCTGCTACAGAATGCTCCCCCCTCCTGTCCTCCCTCTCCCCACGCCCCACCCCTATATTGTTCGTTATGCAGTTTTACAGTATTTGTTTGATACTAAGTGGTGAGGTACTACTCATTGGACTTAAGCATTATCATAAACGCTATTCCATAAGTAGTTATTACTTAGTAGCAAAACATAATGGAAATACTAAGAACTGAAAAAAAAAAAAATTAGTATTTTGTCTGAGACTTTTTTGTCCGACTAAGCTGTGTGTGTCTTAACTCAGCGCTGCAACTGGACCTTGCTAGTACAACGGTTGTGACATTAATAACAGATATAAAAAGTTAGTGATTAATGCAATAAGAGCGAAATCTAGGGGAAAGATGAATTAAAGCAATTTAGAGGCTATTGTATCCTACGCCTATTTTATTTTACTATTGTATTTCTTTTTACAACTTTATCCTTGAATTTGCAGGAGGTGGCGGTAGCGGTGGTGGCATCGGGTTTAACGATGTTGCAGGTATAATTGGCGGTATTACTGGGCCGGGGAGCAAGAACGAGAAAATTAGCGGCCTTATCAGCGGGATTGGTGGACTTATTGGCAAAAAAAGCGGCAAATATGCAGGTGGAGGTACGCTGTTACTTCATTTCATTTCCCTGAAGGAGAGAACTTGGGAACGCTTTTCTCGAATAATAATAATTTTGTATACTGATTGAGGTAAGTTTTTTGTAAAATTTACGTTTCGACTACTGAGGCGATGTAGGGCAGAATGTGATTGGAGCGACCTGGGAGAAATGAGCTGTCCAAGGACGTTTTGAATTTAACTACAATAATTATGTACTTTGGTGTGGACCAAGTGACATCAGAGTTTGGGCGTTTGGGTTTTTTATTTATTTGCGAGGGAAAGTTCACCACACTACAACTAATGCCTTTTACCAGTACTCTAAATTATTTAAAAACGCTCTTATGATGAACGTTTTTACATAATTTAGAAAATTGGTAAATGTCTTGACATAAGTTGTAGTAATTTTTACATATAAATTATTGAATAAATGGCAAATTACCAAATTATTAAAGAATGCCAATTTTCAAATGCTGAATTAATACATATTAAATATTAAATTACTTATTAGATTTAAACAGGATTGCACATAAGGCGTAAATATTATCTAATAGTGGGGTGTTTTGGAAATACTAAAGATTGAAGTCGATGGTATACTACGAAATAATAATTTTATTGAGATCAGGACGTTCGTTCTATTAATTCGCGAACGTTTTAACTCGGCACCACAACCGGATCTCGTTAGTAAAACGGTTTTAGTACAGATTATTATTGTTTTATAATTTTATAATAAATAATTGGCCGACGCACGGGCTGCCCGCGCGAACATGCGTTTTTTGCGTAGTTCCCTGCAGTTTTTGTCGCTACCGCTGTGAAGAAGGAGCACCACAAACTTCTGAAATATCTAATTTCTGGTTGGTCCTCGAATGCCACTCGCTCCTCTCCAAACTGGGTCCGGGCTTTCCAACAATAAATATCGGTGGCTCAGATTTTGTTGTTCAAAAACCAATACGTTTCGCGAGATTTCCACACCTCAAACTTGGGTAATATAACCGTTTATTCAACGCA